ATTACATCACCTTTATTATTAAATATTAAGTTGAAGAAATTTAAAATTCATAATTGTCATACAAAAATTAAATTTTGCGAGAGAAAAATCCAAAATATATATTAATTCAAAACTTTTATTTAAAAGAAGAAATAATTTTATTTGATTTTATTCTCTCTCTTTCCTATATAATTTTGAGGAAAATATCGCGGATTTTAAAATACAATGAATATACATAATAGCCACATTAAAGAATATGAAAATCATTACCATGTAAAATGTAAAGAAACGATGAAATTTCCTTTTGAATATTCTTTAATGTGCATTTTCCATTTATATGGATACTATCGTTTCGCGTTTCACGAGCTTATAACTGACGCAATAAAATTGTGCACTTGAAATTATGTTGCAGCTTCCTCGATCTAAATGATCGACTTTACGAGGATATCTAGAGCTTCCTCCCGACTGAAATAATACTTCCTCGTGATATCGAACGATACCGAAACGCGCGCGCTCTCAGGACGAACGTAAAGTAACTTTCAGCAGCCAAAAGGGAAAGAATTGAATTATCCGAACTTATGCATGTGGCACCACGTTTACACGATATATGAAAGTCGCGTGTGCGAGGCTCATACCCGAGCGAGGCAAGCAATCGCGCTAAATCTCCGTGAAAAATCCAACGGATATATATTCACGAACTTGCGTCTTTTCTCGCGTCTTTCTCCTGCAAAAGGCGTTTAATTTTCATAAAGAACCTTAATTTATGGGATATCCTAAATTCTAGTACATGCTCTCAAACTTACAAACGATGTTTTATCTTTTAATTCCTCACATGAGCAAAAGTTATACCCTGCTTTTACGCCAATGATAAATATATTTTCCGCAAACGACTGTAAGCATAATCGTTTCAATGCAGTTATTGCAAAGATTAACTTTTCACTTATAATTAAAATCGCAAAAACGAATAAAAAATTATCTGCTCAAATTAACAATATGAAAGTGGATATTAAATTATGAATACTACACAGATTTTAAGTAAATATATTAATAAGTTGTAAGTTCCTTGTTTATAAGTAAAGTAATGGTATTACAAGATTAACTGCGATATAATGTCGAAGAATTTCTGCTTTAATCATCGGACGAAATAGGTACTTTTTCCAAATAATCCATCAGCTAATACGTTTAAATCTAATTTTTGTTTTCGTCAAAGTCCGGTATCATGGCCGCCTTAAAGCCAGATATGAATATTGAAATTCTCATTATTCGCATAGCCGCGAGCGACCAGTGTAACTGATCCACACTTTGGCCGACATAATTTAAAGTTTCTAAATTAACGAGTTAAATTATGGATACGTGCTCGGTCACTAGACATCCTGGGCTAGCCAGTTTAACAGATAGATTGCAAAAGTCATGTCCCGTAGGACTCGTAGATATCATCTTTATTCTATCTTTAAACTAGGTCGTATTACAAGACTATGACAATTTATTTTTCAAACACCTATCCTCCGCTCATTTGTTGTATACTTTCTTTGACAGGAATTTTAATAGAATTTTCACGGTCTTACGTCGAAAAATTCATAAAAGAAAACCTTTGTCTTAACTCTTTTCAATAACGAATTTTGACAAACTTGAAATGAATCTCTTCCTGGTATTAATTAGATTTTGAGTTATTATAGATTTTGAATTAGTATAATATGATGCTATTTGCTTTAATAACGTTTTTATTAAGTTATAAGCAAAATTTCCAGCAATTTCGTTACATTGAAAAACCTAACTAAAGCTGAGGTTTTCTGCTATGATATGGAAACACAAACTTCAAAAGTTATTTTGTTAGGAAAATATTGATAGAATATGACAGATAATGATAAATGTGAAATACAAAAGTCATTTCGTATTCTCTACTCGCAGCTGTTGAAATTCTCGAATTTATTATAACTCAGATTGCAATATCAATATTGTAACTTTTCTGTGCATTCAATTGAAAAATAAATTGTTCTTAAATTTCGATTATTTAGAAATTCTAGAGAGTTGTTCGGCTTCTGATAAGGTCGTTAGACGTTGGTAACAAATGAGACTAAATGTAGGTCGGGACACCGGGCTGGGTTCTTCATTTTTCAGTGTTGGGAGGCGCTTAATGTCATGAATCTCCCTGGTGTCGGACAAACAAGGACAGACGCGATTCTCCGCAATTAAACAAGCCGAAATGAATATGAAAAAGGTGCTAACTGGAGCAAAGAAAAGTTTTTACGAAATGACCACGTTGGCATGCCGGCCTCGATTCCAGACATTATCCTACTCTTCATAGACACATGAAATTAACTTCCAGTTGAATAAACTGTCTTAATTTTCTTTCACAATTAACAATTCCATGAAAGAATGGATCGGAAGAATATGATTTTGACATAAACTCGACGTAATTCTTATAATATTAATACTTCGAATAACGCTCAAGAAAAGGCTAAATGAATTTTCTCAGTGCGTATTTTTGAAAAATATTTTGCACAGCTTCGAAAAAAATAAATAGAACGATTTATAATTAGAATTAATTATTGTTTTATATAAAACAATTTATCAAAATTTATTTATTAAATTTATTCTTTATCATTCATATAATATATATTATTTCTTCCTGAATTATTTACAAGATAAAAAGTAACAAATTTAATACAAAAAAACATGCGAATACAACTCTATAATAATTGCAAAACTTTATTCCGTTTATCACTAAACTTATATACCGTTTTTCTTGATCCATCTTCTTTTGAAAATACCGCGCGAAAACTAATTTCGCAATGAATATTTTTCGAAGGAAAATTGATTTTTGGAATATATTTTCCCAACATTCATCGCTGGCAAGCATTACTTTCCTAGCAAACATAAACTTCATCTCGTTGTAGTTAACATATGTGCAATGAAAATCGTGGTAGTTGATCCTCTGGTGTTGCTTTAAAGAAAATAACATTCCCTACTCTGCTACAAGAGAAAATACGCACGCTAAGATACACGCATAAATAAGCGAAAGCATGAAACTAGGTCATGCACTGAGAAAAATTTTTGGTTGGAAATGAACGAACTAGAAGATTCTATAATCATATCAATTAGAATTTCAGTTTTCTCAACTAGAATATAATAGATTCAACCAGAAAATCTTAATTCATTCATTTTCAACAAGAATTCCAATTAATACAATCAAACTCTATTGTCAGCATATCATTTTCTAATAATTTCGATAAATAGTGCAAAAGAAAATCTATATTGGATTAATAGTATTGATAGGTTCTGATATATTCTACTTTTCATTTATCTACTATTTATTTTATACAATCAGTTTAAAACTGATTTACGGTTTTTAAAAATGATACACACATAAATAAGCACAATAACGTGAAATTAGGTTGTACTGTAATTATTAATATTTAAAATAATGTAAACAAAAATCTATTGTATTAATATCAATGTTCTCTAATATGTTTAATGTTAAAATTTAATCTTTATAATATGAATTTAAGAATATCATAATTACGTCTGAATAATGGTTTAAAAAAGCTACGTGATAACGTTTCGCTGTTAATATGAATTCAAACATATACTATATTTTGATTAATATTTATAAAGCAAGCGTTCGTATAACAAAGTATTATTATATATAAAATTTTGTTAAGGATCGTATAATTGCTCATTTCATACGTTTACCATTCAAAAACATTAATTCTCTAAAAAGAATCTTTCGTTTTTCATACAATTATTAAAGCAAATACCCTTTCAATATCGAATACTGTTTCAGAATGATAGTCAATGCCACTCCTCCTCCCTTAACAGAGTGCTGTAATTGGTTTGTCGCAGCTTAACTAACTACCGGATAAAGTCACCAGTAACGCTAGCATTTAAGCGGGGCTTACCGCTACGAGGCAAAGCGAGATGTTTACTGCTAATTGCGTGGCTTCGGACTTTCGATTTACCTGGATTTATGTCATGAACGTGTGGAGAAGGAAGAGGGTTAAAAAAATTTCTTCCCAATTGGTTTGCACACGTTTATTTTTTAGAAAGGGAAATTGCTCAAAAATCGAGAATGACGTTTCTTTCAATCTGATGGAGATCTTTGGTAAATATTCAGTCGTTTTCCCTTTAAAAAAAAAAACTTGATTCCGCATTGTCTTGTGTCTGCTTAATTTTCGACATTGAAAAATTACGAACCTTTATATTAGAATTCTATTAAAATAAAATCAATATTCAATTAACTATATTAACATTTTTTTTATATTTCGACTTATACAAATACATCGCTTTTAAAATAACTCACGAAAGTTTAACGATGCCAGCGAATATCCTTTGCAAATTAACTAAAATTTTTTACTCTGTTACGAGCCTCAATATATACTCTCTCGGTTTAAATAAGGAAAGAAATACTAGCTAACAGTAACAGATGAGGGAACAACGAATAGGATATACGATAATGCTGTAATATAAATAGTTGGCATCGTGCCAGATGAGTTAATTGCTAGATCAGCAGTACTTCCGTTTGTTCACCGCGAGCTCTTGGCTGGCTAGCTAAATTTTTCTTGGCAGAAAACACGCGTTTAAATTCACAAGGTATTTCTGTTTAATGTACCTGGTGCGCGCGCGTTCAGATCTCATTTGCGCGATTAAATCTTGCGCACGGCACGCTATGAGAAACGCGAAAAGTTCTTTTTTAAGAAGGACAACGTACACGAGGTATACGAGAAATCAGCGGCGAAAGAAACGGAAAACAATTCACCGCGACTGCATTCGTCGACACGTCGCACGAATCACGCGAGTTTTTCTTTTCACACGCCAGGGAGATCGAAAATTCCATCAAATGTTGAAAGGTTTCAGAGAATTACGTAAATTTGCATGATAGAAATCAGGTCAACGCGATTCAAGAAATCGGGATTAAAGTTCTCACTGTACAGAATAGTTATACAATAACGACAAATACCTAAAAGCTTGAATAATAACGCGTGATATATAAGTTAGTTTACAGATAACATCTTGTTGCTCGAGTAATATTCATGTTTATTTCATTCGTTCGTGTGACTTACATCTTGGGACTTTTACAGTTATATTTTTATACGTCTGCCAGGCTTGCTTTCACTTTTTATCGACATATATTCGTTTCATGACGTATCGACCGCAGACGTCGCCGTCGTCTCCCTCGACCCATCGTGACTCTCGCGGTCCTGAGAGGACTCATCAGAGGGTCGACGGTGAAGCAATTGAGGGTCCACGACGAGTCTGACATTGACGGTGCTCTTCCACCATCTGTACCACGGCGACACCTGGTCCTAAAGAAGGAGAGACAAATGTGAGCGAGTGGAGAGAATCGCTGGGGTCACGGCTGCTCCTTTTCCCGCTGATTTTAAATTATCCGGGCAGTTTCAGTTGTCAGGGGCAAAGGGCAGTCCACTCAATAAATCAAGCTCGAGTGACGCACCTCGAGTGCCCTCCGATGTGAAAAAGAGGCAGGGCAAAAGAGAGAGTGAGGTACAATCGAAACGGGAGAGACGCGATTCGGAAAGTGGCGCGTATTCACGATTATTCTTAATTAAACACGACGTCCGACGATTTCGATTCAACTGCAGCGATTTACAGCGCGACGCGACCGACGGTTTTATTTAAAACTTCGCCATCCTCTATCCTTCGTACGCAGAGTGCACTCAAAGTACGCTTCAAAGTGGTTACTGGATCTTTTTCAGGGATTAACGAGAGCATTCGATAACGCGCGATTCGTTAGACTGCTTTCGGATAACCGAGCGAAATATCGCGCACCAAACAAATCATTTCGTTCGCCCATCCTCATTTAGTACAGTCTCTGGTTTCAATAATACAGCAGAGACGTTAAGCGGCATGAATAATTCTTCTCTGGATCGAAAGCGCACTTTGTTCCAAGCGGAATAATGTATTATAGATTCTAGTGGCTGATAAATCTTTCGATTTATCGACGACATTGATCTGTACCGTATCAGGAATATATATGTACACTACGTGACTAGATTACCGCATATATTCTTTGCTGCACTGGCGTAAGATATAATACTATATGATAAATATGTTTCCATGAATAAACTATAAATATTAAATTATCTAACAATGCAATAAAATTTTTAATTTAAATCACTTCCTTGTACTATAAATTACTATAGAATATTATAGTAATCTATAGTAAGAAATGATTTAAATTAAAAATTCTATTGTATTATTAGATAATTTATTATTTATAGTTCATTCCCCTTTAGATTACTATAGTATTCTATAGTAATCTATAGCACACAAGAGTGATTTTAATTAAAAATTCTATTGTATTGTTACATAATTGATTGTAGTTCACTCCTCTGTACTATGGATGGGGACTATAGAAAATCATTACTGAATTAAATTTCATTTAAGCTAAAAATATTTTCAGTGAATTGATTAGTATTTAAACTGAAAACGAAATCATTAATATTATATTAATAAATAAGTTGGTAACTATTTCCTAAATAAGTTAGTAACTATTTCTGTTTGTTTTTTTTTCTACAAGAATCATTGATTTAACATTTAATTTAATTTTTCGAGTATAATTATTTAAGTTAATTTTTAATTTTTTATATTCATTAACATTTTCAAATAATATATCAGAATATTGATATGATAATCTCATTCAATTTCCCATATTTGCATACGAAAACTTAACGATTTCCATATTCATGTTTGAGATGATGCCAATAATAATTAATTTAGCAACAGCTTTGGGCTAACATAATCAAACGCAACACTTGCTCTGTGATGATTAACTGCATACGGAAAATTAACGAGCATTAGCAACTATTTTAGGATATATAAACAGTTACCGTAAATACTTGCCGTAACAGTCATAAACGGAACTCTAGTATAATTCACACTGACGCTATAAAGATTATAATCTTCATTAAGAAAGATAATTTAAACGAAATTTCACCATTAAATGAATCATATGATGAAGCAATAAAAAAGAATAAATACTTATAAATATAAAAATGTACAAATTATGTCATAATTTTTTAGGTATCCAAAAAAAATACATTAATAAAAATTTCCATTATAAATTGCGCCTTTAAAGTATCATAAAGTAAATAAGATGAAAACATTCAAGGACCCTTAGTATAACAATAATTGATACAAATCAACAAGGGCGATGTAAGAATCAAAAGATAAAAATTCATTTATTAGTTTTATATTTATATTTTATTACTTTTCACAAATTTTGACATTATAGGTATTATTTTAAATGAATTTTTATCTTTTGACTCTTACATCGCCCTTGTTGATTTGTATCGATTATTATCATAAAGTAAATCACAACATTATCCTTGTAAAGGCATAAAACGCATGATATAATTTTTTGTGAGGGATGCATGGTATTTTTAGATGAAGAGAGAGAGACCTACTCTATTAGCTATGCTTCCGCTCAGCGCACACCTCGTACGTATTCTTTTCATATCAGAGCATCATGTGTCTTTCGCGCCCTTCCGGCACAAAATGCGTTCTGACACGTTTGTTCCGGGTCGCTCCCCCATATTAGACCCGCGCATTCGAGCATCGGGATATCGCTCACCTGTTTCACCCTTACGCCGCGCCTTAATGCGTCCGCCTGGGGCAAACGTCGCTATCTGGCCCGGCGAGATCGCGTTACATAAATGTAAACCGCGGCACGACAAAGTCGTGTTGGATGCGACATAAAGTCGATGACCCAGAGGATGTATATACTGATGCAAGTTATCCCGACGTTGCTAGTCAAAATATCACGATTCTATATTCCCTACGTTACAATACGTATACATCTCAGCCAGATATGTATATTCTTTGAAAGATATTTTGCAGTAAATAACTCACGTCTTATGCGTAAGACATTCCTAGCTTACCGTGCAACCTTTCAGCCGAAGGTAATACGGTATAAACTAAGAAAAATGGCTATTGTTTCGAACTTCAAGCGTCAATAGGTATTAAGTTATGGATATTATGATATATATTGATCTCTCTACGTGTCCAAAGTATCTGAAAACTTACACTCGTGATTTCTGAAAAAAGTGTTTGGTAAAAACGTTATTCTTTGGAGTTAACAAAGACTTTGATAAAATAATGTACCTCGATGTGATGAAAATATTCTACTACTATTATTTTAAAACACTTTAACTTCAAATCATATTTGTTATATTAATGTTGCAAAATTAAAATTTACTAAACAATAAACATGACAAGTATAGTTCAAACAAATATAAATATTGCTTGAGTAAACATAATTTTATTTTTACGTATTTATCGTATTAAAAAAGTTATACAATATAATCGATTATATTAAAAGAATGAATTTATTTCATTTGTTATTCGCATTACACGGTTTATGTTCACTGAAATAAACACAAGCAAAGCTTTAGCGTGCTTATTTTTTACTAAAACTAAATTTCATTTACTGATATTTAACTGTAAAGACACATTTGGTTTCCTGAGGAAAGGCACGATGCGTTAATATGCATTTTATTTTAAATATTTTGTTTCGCGAAAATATACAATATTCTACAATATTGATTCCAATTGCTTTATTCCATCGTTGTGTATTACGTAAACCGATGATTCCATACATTTAGCTTTTGAACTAATCCATGTAAATTTAATAAGATATTCATATGAATATAATTGAAACATTTCCAATGCATTCGGCTAAAAAATATCAATGTGGGACATAATACTATATTCATATCTTTATAATGTTACATAGTTAATTAATTAAATACTTAATGAATTATTTTGATATTATGTAAGTTATTTAATGCATCTTTTAAACCAATTAATGCATTCAATTTGCTCGCATATACTGCGTCCTATTTCTATTGAACATCAAACAATAGAAGAGTTACGTATAAAATGAAAGCATTTGTCCCAATTGTAATTTAATTTTAAAAAATCAATAACTTTTAAGCCCTTTTATCGCGATAATTCTTCTTATTAAATGCGATCTTCCTAGTGTGAATTGATAGCTTAAATATTGAATTAATAGCTTAAAAGAATAAATCAAGAACATAATTACCCTGCAAAGCAGGTAAACTGTGGTGATATAGCCTAATATCACGATGGTCAGGAAGAACCATATTGCCCCTCGTGTCCAGGGCTTGGAAATTCCAATCTTATTTCCCTCAATGACAAAGTATCGCACACCTATAAAGTTACAGCAAAAAACAAATATAATATTCAGTTTAATACAATGACAGTTTTACAAAAGTGCACGCTTATCGGATGGAACTGTTGTGAGACTTCGTCAACATATGATCTGAATTCTTTTTCGCATATCATATTATTCAGTAACAATGTTATTTTCTTTAAAAGAAGCTTGAAATGCAAGAAATATGTATCAAGTATACGAACGCTAATAATAATAATAATACGCTAATATAATATTGTATAATATAATTATATTATACAATTTTTATACAATGTCGAGTAATGGTTAAATATTAAAATATATATAATAAGTAATATTCAAAAACACGGAAATATTTACAGCACTAAAAGCTCAATATTTAAATGTGAATTTTATTTATTGTTAAATAATATAAATATATAAATACAAAATAATTACTATTTAATATTGAACGATATAATACACATATAATATATACATATAATGTTAGATCGAATAATAAAACATTGCAACTTTTTTTAAATGCGTTTTGTAAAAAATGGATTTAGTAAATCATAAAATAATAATTATGTTCTATAAAATTTTCCAAACCTTCACCTTATCAAATTTGTTGCAAAATTCAACGGGCAAGTTCAAAAAATATAAACAAAAGATAACAAATATTTGCGTCAAATTCCTTGATAGAATTTATTTACTTGACCATAAACTGGGAGACCAGTTCTATTATCCAAAAAGCGACACTCACCCAAAAGGCACACCGCGACTAATCCCACCGTAACAATGGTGAGTAATGTTAAGATGAGCAGGTCTGATTCTATATTCCTACGATTCCGCGGATGGCTAATCCATATCCTCAGAGATTCTGGCCTGCAGGTATTCATAAAAATGATAACTACACGTAGCCGAGTACGGCCATTAAGATAAAAGCTCAAAAAATTCATCCTTGGAGGATTATGCACTTTATACACAGAACAAAATGCTTGTCGGTAAACACAATGTGATGTTAGAATTGTATAATGCACTGCTTCAAATTATATAAAAAATACAAATAAAAATAAACATAACAATAAAATATACCCACACGAGTAAAACTAATATTATTTTAAGATAAACCTTCTCTTGTAGACAAAACATTAATTTCTTATTCTATAATTCCAACAACCGATTGTAAATTTAAAGTGATGCATCACACGTTATTTTAACGCATAAATCAGAATATAGACGTCGCAGTTTATCGTCGATTTCTAGAGCAGTTTACTCAATACATCATTTTTGATGTTCGAGTAAACTCCAAACTGCAACCTGATCGACTCACAGTGAGGAAACAAATTGTACAGAAGAAGATAGGAAAAAAAAAACAAGAAATATGACCGAGATCAATTCATCGCGAAAAGGAGAATAATGGGTATGGTAGCGGAAAACGAAATAAGGAAACTTGCCGGTGTGCAAGAGATCGAAGTGCATTTCGGATGCTTGAATTACATCCAGCTTGAAAGTGCACCCTCCCCGTGTTAACCCGATAAATGTAATGCTCACCATCGATAACGAGGCGTCTCCACGGCATTGAAGTAGTACCGGCACAATTCGCAGTACGTTCGGCACGACTGATTCAGCCATCGTTCCAAGCAGGACAAGTGCACGTAAGCCAGCGTGCCTTTACATCTGGAAACGATACGCTGCATATATCTTATTGCAATATTGTAATGTATGGCATTAGCCGACTTAAGAAAATGAAACGTAATTTTATCAAAAAATATTGTAATAACCGACGATTATACGTACTTCTTTGTGGAAAAAGAACTTTACACTTGGAACAAAATTTATTAAATTTTAATATTACATATTTCTTTGAATAGTATTAAGTAAACATTTTTAATTACAGTAAATAAATGTTTAATCAATAAAAAGATAATGGTTAAATCAAATTAATGATTTTTTTTTATCAAATAACTATACGTTTACATTTAATAAATATTTACTTAGAACTGTTCAAACAAAATTTATTAAAATTTAGTATTTTTAAATGTATTTATGTCATTTAAATATACAGTCGCAGAAATGAATTAAATTTAAAGAGCAATCCGAGATGGAATTGTAAAGGATATAGAAACTAAGTGACTTTGTTGATGCTTTTGCTGAGTAGTCTGAATACTCGAATATACTCTCTCAACTGTTTTCAAGCAATCGTAAAAGACAGCTCAAACCGACGCTAGACTCGGCTTTTAAAACCAACATTTAGAAAAAAAATAGTGTCTAGTCTCGTTACAAAAACTACATTTAAATTTCAGTATAACCTTTATATTTATGAAATAGTTTAAATATGTAAAATTAATAATTTTTCAATAAAAGTGCAATTACTGAATTATAGCAATTCATTAATGTTTTATATCTAATATTGCATCCGCATTGTAATGTTCTTTCGTACAAATGTATATTTGTAAAAATAAAATTATAAAAAAGCACATTATTGCATTCTGTAAATATCCAGAAGTATTAAATCTATTCATTCGCGTGTTCGCTCGAGAACGAACACGAATCATCGAAATTTATTCCGCCATCGAGAACGCAAGAAAAATAAGTTAGATCCGATTCTCCTCATTAATCTCTGCCGTTTCGGACCGAACGCCTATGGCTTCGAAGTAACATTTGGATTAGAAAGGATATCCGTAAGTTCGAGAATTATGAAGGTAAATACTCGCGCGCGCGGGAAATTTGCAGCCGGTCGCTCTCATTTCGCACGTTTCTACTGCGTTTTCACGTAGTTCTTCAAGCACGAGTTGTGTGTCCTTAATCGCCGGGACACGTTTCTCGAACTATTCACTCATTTATGCCGTCTACGGTAGCGGGCCATAAATGAGAAAGGGAAAGGGCAAAAGAGGAGCTAAAGAGAAGTTCTTCTCTCGTCCCTTCTTAGCACGATTCCCCATCTCACAGCCAACGCGAGAATTATGCGACTACGTGAGGTCGATTTCGGTGCCAAGCCGGAATATACTTCATTCGACGATAGAGTCACGACGTTTCGCTTTGTCAGCCGTGTTAAACGACCGCTGTTCGCCGAGTAATCTCGTTATTATAAACAGCACCGGCAACTATCATGACATTGCTCTTCGCTTCCTACGCATCCTACGTCTACGATGTATGCACTGTATGCAGCAGCGCGCAAATTAGTCCGAACAAGATACGGAAGTCAGTAAACCTGAACTGTACTACTGTTGCACAATATAGTGATTCCAAAGACAAGTTTATGCGTTAAAGTCTCGTTAAAGTGATATCAGACTCGCATATATGAGATCTTCTTGTTAAATAAAGGAAATGATTATACGCGACTGAATATAGAATCTATGTATTTAACGTATGATAGAGTCTCTAATTATTTCATTTGTTTAATACGGTTGCCACATTCTGAAATTTCATAATATTTTCTTGCTTTCCGGACAAAAGTTCAGGTGATTTTCTCTGATGCTTTCAATATTACTTTAAATTTTTTATATTTTTGTCCTGATTTGAAAATCGTATTATAAAATATTTTTATAATTGAAATTTTTAAACGTTCGATTCTTTATCACTTGTTATTGGTACTCGCAAATTTACATCAACACTTTTTTATAACTGCAAAAATAGTTCTAAAAAGAATTCTATAGTGCTGTCACCTGTCTATAAAAAAATTTAAGAATTACCACTGTACTTCCCATGCATAAAAGTCTTTAATATCCTTCGACACTTCGAGACCATAAAGTAACAAAATTACCCACTGTCAGCACCGAACGAAAGAACGTTCTTTTATTATATGATCAAACACCAACATTAATTTTAATACAATATATTTAACTTATTTTTTAATTACATATTTAGCACAGTAATTACCGATTGTGCTAGCAGCTTTAATTTTCATCCTTTTTTTATTGTCGTCAAATATTTTATAATTAAGAGAGTAATTTAACATAGCAATATAAATTATTATAAATGTAACACTATACTTCAACGTTAGTAGGTATGATGTAGGTATATTAAACTTCTTTAAAGCAAGGAATTTTTACTTTCCAGAAAATTTTCCAAAATTTCCTAATTTTTCTCTTATTTTTTACTGATCATTTTCAGTTTCCCTTACATTTTCCTTATTTCTAATTTTGAGGCAACCCTGATTTTAGTTTTAATTTCAGATAAATAAAAATATTAAATAAATGTCTCTAATAAATCTTATTGATAAATATCATATTATTACAGATATTAAAGATATCTTGTATAAGTTCAAAGTAACAAAAAATTTCTCAATAAACTGAAATATTCGTTGCGGTAACAAAAAGCGATACAGAGCACAACAGTGAATGAAACAATTCTCTTTTACGCGATTTGCCCTGTGGCTCATAGGCGTCATAAACTTTTCCCTTTGACAACATGATGTACATGGACGGTGATTAGTCCGCGTATCCGGCGAAACAGTTATCGTCCGATGAAATTTATGCTGCTCTTCTTTCGCGGCGCGATTCGCCGCAGAATATAGCTGCTGCGTTATGACATCAGTTTTGCGATTGTTCCGGCGAACAATGTACGGTATGCAGCAGAATCCGGAATACTCCGTCAGCGTCGAGTGCGATATAAGGAGCGATATTAAACGAGAAATAATTCGCGAGCGACCGCTAGGAAAGTTGCAAGCAGCGCTCCGAAAAATTTTAACCCAACTTCCGATAATAAAACATTTTAAACACTTCACCGCCTATCTACCGCGAATCTACCGGCGTTTTTGAACATTGTAATTTTGTAACTTGTAACATAGCTTCATCTTTTAGTTTAGTTAATAATTATGAATAGAAAAAGTTTTCATGTAACCGTCCCAGAAAGTCAGAGATTCGTCAATGAGTCGGTAAATTAGTCGCCGCTATCATTTTTTCCAGTATAGGTGTTTGACTTACTATGTGTGTATGTGTATTTAAATCGCTCCGGTGAAGTTAGCTTCCAACTTTTGAAAAAATTAATTTTTTATAGAACTCATTCAAGTGCTCATTGTTTACACATGTATGTATATTTCGAGTTTCGTTTGCACACTTCTAGTAAAATGTTATTTAAAAAATAATTTTAGGGAGTATTAATTTCACAAGCTCTCATTGTCAGTAACGAATAAATTAGATTTGTTTAGTCTCAAATCTCATTTAATAGATTTTTATCTGCAAATTCCAAAACAAGCCAATTGTTCGTTTGCACACATTTATTTAAACAATTATGAACAAATTAATGTTGGGGGCCTAACTTCACCCCGCAAAAAGTACGTTTTCGCCTTGAAATCTAAAGAAATAAAACTGAAATAGTTTTAATCGATAGATTTTCATTTGCACATATTGAAACAAATCGATTTTTTATTTACATACCTTTAGTTAAAAAGTTATTTACAGTTAAAGTTTTGAAGACAGTTTGACTCAGATAGATAGGTTCAAATCACAGTTAATATACTCAATATCATTTAAATCTATCTGTCTGAGTCGAATGTTCCTCGAAACTTTAATTGTTAATAACTTTTTAACTAAATGTGTGCAAACAAAAACTCAATTTGAATCTGAATGTGCAAACGAAAATCTGGATCGGTGTTATTTCAAACTTGTTTTTTTTTTTATTCCAGACGATAACGTACCTTTTGCAGAGTGAAATTAATCCTCCAACATTTATTTGTTAATAACTTTTTAACTGAAGGTGTGCAAACGAAAAATCTGAAATGCAAATAGAAATCTGTCTATTAGTGTTATTTCAAACTTATTTTTTTTTAATTCGAGACAATAACATACGTTATACAGCGTAGAATTGACACTCCCCAACATTTATTTATTAATAACTTTACAACTAAAGATGTGTAAACGAAAAATCAGCTTGTTTCAAAATGAGCAAATTTTCATTTTAAAAATCTATCGATTCGTGCCATTAATAGAACTGCGATTTAAATCTATATATATATCTGAGTCGACCATCCTCAAGACATTAATTGTTATAGTAACTTTTTAATTAAAGATGTGCAAACGAAAAATCGACTTGTTTTGGAATTTGCAAACAAAAATTTATATCTTGAGATTAGTTACCTTAAATCTAATTTGTTCGTGATTGGGAGGCTAGTGTGACATAAGGTCTCCTCAAATAGTTTTTAAAATCACTTTTTTACTAGGAATGTACAAACAATGAGCAATAGAATGAGCTATAAAAAAGTTTTCTTTTAATGTATAAATCAAAGGGTAATGTTTCTTTAATTTTTTTTTAATCTATGGAGAGGGGAGCAACACTTCAGACAGGTATCTAAATTATGTAATAACAGTTATTTTCTTTCTCTACTATGATAGCCAATCATATCGTACGCTTTAACCTTTTAATTAATTGGAGCTCTATAATATATTGCAGCGAACTTTCCCTTTACCTACTAAACTACAAAAAAACTTTACGGAAAAAAAGAAGGCATGCGTATGCTTGTCTTCCTAACCTTTTAAATTCTTTGGAGTGGAATCTCACTCTAAATTATGAAAACAAAGCTAGTGAAAAAGAGAATATTCAAAAATGAGATTTTAATTTAAAAGTTTTAAAAAGTACATTCTGGTAAGAAACAATAAGAAACGGTATTAGCCAATCGTTGACTAAGAAAGCAGTACAATCTTTGTCAGAGTGTCATTGTTTAAAATCGAGATCTCCCTACTCCTTGATAGCTCGTTATGGTACCTATCCTACGGAACTCAGTGCTTCTAAACAATCAATCAAACTATATATTTCTATGATAAATCTCTGGTTTTCTAGGACTAATAACACGGAACATAAACAAAATGCCCACATGGATGATAAGAGAAGATGGATGAGATTAATATCCGCATGACAACAGTTTTACCCTCTATTTTCTTCAAAGATGGACAGGGATAAGAAAACGGATTTACTTACTCGAAGGAGGGAAAAGGTAAAATCGAGCATTTGTATTCTCGAATGCGAGGACACGCCTGCATACTTAGCGGCGAAATTCACGAAACTACAGATGTTTCTGTCATTTCACCATAAATAGTCGGTTGCATCAAAATTCGTGATGATTCATGCGCTCAGTCGACCAGATTTCTCGTTAGCGTCGCCGGGCATTTACCACTGCGCGTCTAATGTTGTCGTGGTAACAGAAAAGAAATGGGTCATGAGATATAAACGAAGTAGTTACGTAATAGTCGAGAATTCTCACGGGGTCCTCGTGAATTAAGTCCCTACAAGCAAAGAACCGCGGCTCAGGTCGTTAAGTTGACAGGCAGAGAGTACGGATATCCCTCCATAAAAACGATAAGGATATTACCAAAATGTTAAAAATAAAATAATTGTGAAGACTCTCTCTCTGATAAAAATAGATATGCACACATTTTAAAATCAAGTGATAATCTAATTGGATCATTCTCCTTTTTTCTTTTTAAGAAGCTATAAAAGTGACCATCTGATTGAGAGAAAATAAAATTATGTGTGTTTAGAGTTTAGATTAGTTATCGAAGAATATTCATATTAAAGCCACTTTTTTTACTTTCAAACTTTGTAAAATTACTTAGATATGTGATACTTATAAATTCGAATGACAGACAGTAACAGAGAGTTTCAAAGTAATGAATCAACTTAAGGTATTCCGAATATCATTGGACTTAGTAAATTATACTAACGGTTAATCCCTCGATATTTCATGGTGACTGAATGACGCGAGATGATCATTGCTTAATCGAGCTTTAACGCTAATTAATTAGCGCCTGTCTCCCGTTTCATGCCTACATGAAATTAGCATTTGTCACTTTACGCGACGTACATTGATGGATAGTAAAGAATAGGCTATTGGGAATCGAAGCAATTGAATGCTTTTCTCAGTTTGCCTTGTAGTAACCTAAATACTTTTGTTTTGCAATTAAATTTATTACTAATCGACTTGGCTAAACTTCCAGGTTGAAATACTTAATAATAACTGGTAACAAAGCCTCTTATACATTAAAGTTCATTTAAAGTAAAAGCCATTGAAATTAGCTCGAAATGAAGACTTACTCGATTTATACTCTTTCAGGACTTTAATTCGTTAAGTAAACTCTAAACTAGTGAAATTACTAAACTCTCGACACTGTTGATATTTCGACACCGAAACTGCCGCTCTAATTCTGTGACAATTATAACTGTTTTAATTATTATAGTACCTTCAAGGGTCATTGTAGAATACTGAATAAAATGGAAATCAACTATGCATCATGAAATTAAAGTTGAACCTTACATTTTAACGTACATTACATTAAATCATGTATACAATTATTATTATTATTATTATTATTATTATTATTATGAAATATAACATTTTATGTATATCTACTCTATATTTATCACATATGTCAATTTTCAACAAATTCTTCTTGCTACGTACATCATTTAAACACATCAACAGAAATATCCGGAGCTGAATCCGCAAAATTTAAATATCGCGATGTTCCGCCATTAATACGTAAGCACTTCCCGTTTCGGTGAGCACCACATTTTTCTCGAATCCTATTAAGTATGAAAGATGGGACGTTCGTAAGATGGCGGAATTCTGTCCTAAATCCCGGACATAGCTACGTGGATGATACATGTCGTTTTGCCATGACGATAAAGTTTTCAAAATCGTAAATGTTCAACTATATCTTTTTCTTACGTGTATATTCACAAACGATTATTTCTTGAATTCGAAAATTTAAAATTATGTACTTAAAAATAAAATTATAGTTGCATTTACGTGCGAACAAACATTTTAATGACAATAGAAGAAAAAATTGCGTATGTAGTTTTATGTATGTAGTTTTTATAACATTATAACTAAAAAATGTATTAATGAGTGATTTTTGACCGTGGCAACCGTTTTTTCCACATAAAAATAGTATTTATATAATACAAAATAACTGTAATGTCCTCCCACCTTTATGGATAATTTTGCTATAGAATTGATAGTATAATAATGGAAACACTCTCAGTAACGTTATTAAGCAATTTAATCAATTTAAGCTTATTCTGAAATCCGTCCAATTACGATTCTTAAATTAGCGTTGTATCTTATCTCGAAATACATGTGTAAGCCTCATCGTAATATATTATATATATATATATGTATATATATATATATACATGGATCATAATAATCACAAATATATACTTTAGGATTATTATACATGTATATTACTGTATTTTATATGCAAATAACAAACTCGTATGACATTTTTGCTAATATTCAGAAAAGAATAATGAGATAAATCTTCCTTTTAATTATTTCAATCAATTACTTAAGTTAAAAATACACTGTGGGAAAGAAACAAAACTCAAAATTATCGGAATACTAACTTTTCGTTTGTAAGTCATCGCATTGTGCATGAACTTAACATTTAACGGTACTATCGCGGACAAAACTTTTTTTATTTATTCATTATTCAATCATTGTATATTTGATTTTAGTCTATCGTTTATTCATTCCATTAAAATTCATTTCATTAAAACATCTTAATAGTCCTTCTAAAAATTGAGATTTTGTCCATTTATGATACTGCAGTACTGCATCTAATCAAGCTGTGATAGAATGTATATGTATTTACCTACAAGGGGAAATAAGCGGTTCCTTCGCCGTGTTTGTGTGACATATTCGGCAGACACTGGACCCGACCGAGATCAGACTGCGGGTAAGCCGATGCTGTTGTCCAACGACCCCCGGAGACACTTGCTGCGTGTCGCGACCATTTAAATTGCAGGCCGAGCCCTCGGGAGCCATGGTCGATGGCGGCATCGGCATGCTGCGCTCGTGATCCAAGTTAACTGTGGAACCAGCCAAAGAGAAGGACACACCACGCGGTGCATATGCATGATCCACCACGTACTCGCGCTTATTTACACCCCATTCACCGCACCGTGCCGCCCGGCTTTAAGCGTCTATTTTCTATACGAACCGATCGGAAATCTGATAATAGTTCGCGCCAGTGGTTGCCAACCCGCAAGGTCTCGTGAAGCTTCTATCCAATTATTGTATCCTACATTTCCGAATTTAGCGGAACGGACTCTAGAGATTTTAACCAAACGTGGATTCTCTCTCTCTCCTTCTCTCTCTCTCTCTCTCTCTCTCTCTCACACACACACACACACACACACACACACACACACACACACACACACACACATTTAAGTTAATAAAAAGGATTTAAAAAGAAAAAATGTTTTCAAATGTCCTTGCAAAGGAAAGCCGATAAAAAATGCCCGATTGTGAAAACATAATTAAAATTTTTTTCACAAACAATAAATCTCATCAAAGAAGCTTATTCGATTTATTGAATCATAACTGCATTAAACAAAGCGATATGCAACTATCGCCTGAAAAAAAAAAAAACTATTTTCAACTCTATATCTGTTTAAATGTTTACAATTTTTTAACTTTTTTTATTATTTCATTTTTTTCTTACTTTTCAAAATCTAAAACAAAATTAATACTATTTTATACACATGGTCGATTTGAAGAGAAAGTTGTACATAACAGTGCATATGCATGAGCGATCACGAGAGTTTCTGCATTCATTTAGCCTCTATCCAAATCTAAATCGAATTTATTTGAAGTTTTAACGCGAAATCTGTTGGCAGCTTATTGAATAGTAAAGTTAGTGCTGGTGAACATGTCGATGCTTTGACTTCAAAAGTTCAAACATTGCATTAATGAGATAATCGGATATTTTATTTAACGGATGCTTTATTTTCTCTATTATGAAACTCAGTGATTTATTAAATGATCGAATGATATACACAGCAGAACTCATTAATTACTGAAATTTCACTAATTTTCATTATATCAGAAGTCGTATACACTTGAAAATTTTGTTTCACGTGTTATATGTATATAATTTCACGTACATCACAAATATTAATTAATTACAACTCTCATCATAATATCATCAAAGTGCGATTTTAGCAGATTAAAATTAAATAACACATCAAAGAATTAATCTCTCATAAGTAAATTATAGTATATCAATAACTTTACCCAGTTCTCGCATTCATGTTTTAAATTATCAACATTCATCATATTATCATTTATATAATTTTATTTCTTATAATTAAATGACTTCCACATGTTCGCCGTTCATCTTAAACTATTCAAAAACTAATTGGACCAAATTTTCAAATTTATATTAATTATAAGATTTGATTGGATTTTCGTTCGCGAGATACATTTAATTTCTCGAGGACTCTCAGAGATGTCGAATGAGTGACAATTTATATCATGCCCTGGTGCTCTCTTCTCTAACGAGACGCAATCTCTCGGTCTCTTTGATACGGGGAAGTAGATACTCTCAAGTTTTTCCGTGACAATGAGACCGAACTTTAAACGAAGTCTCGCCGGCTGCGGCAATATTCCAGATGAAGAATGCAAGCCGTAGCAACATCGTGACAGGCAAAACCTACCTACTTGCGTTTCCGACATCGTGAAAGTTTCCGGCACGATACATAACCAACAATTTCCCGTGAAACGAAGTCGTGCGTGTGGTGCTAAGTCCTTCAAAGTCCTTCCAATCTCGTAATTTCCGTGAAGTTTATTTTTTATGTAACGCGACGTCACCAAATGCAAATGTGGAGCCGACCTGGATGGTCGACAGAGGTAGTTTTTAACCTATCCGAGGGTGCTGACACATGGAGGGTGATGACACATGGTGATGATAATTTAGCTCATTTTCACCGTTATTTTTCTGTTTCCTCAGCGAATCGATCGCTATAAATGAAAATAGTGCTAGATCGAAAGGCTATGACTTTTTTTCGTACGAGATTAAAACATGCAATAACTCTGTGTATTAGAACTGTTGAGGAGACCTGCGAATTAATCTACCGGATCTCATTTTCCATGGATCTCAATAAATTAAAATAATCAGATTAGTCGTTGAAAATTCTTGACCTTATTAAATAAAATATTGAGAGTCAATGAATAAAAAAGAACGCAAAAAGGTGGTGATCCTCATCGTGGTGATACACTGAAGTTATTATCTTAAAAATTGGAGCAAGATTGCAAATGAACATTTCCCTTTATAAAGAACAAGTGATTTCAATGATGTCAGATAACATAATGTCAAGAAGGAAAACAATAATCAAGAACAGATGATAACAGGAAGGGGAATGTTGGAATTTCTAAAAAGAAATAACATTGCCTAGAAAACTTTAATGCACATTATCTTAGAAAAATGATACCATTGCTTTATAAATGGATGCTAAAATTATTTCTTTTAAAATTCTATAACAGTTTTTTCATTTTTTCGTTCTTTCAATTTTGCTAGAAAAACATTTTTATATGTGAAAAAGAATTAATTCATATCATGTTCCTATCATGAAAAAATAGACCTTCTATTGGTCCCAAAATATTTGATTAAAACTGAACATATTACCGGTGAATTCGTACGAGATTAAAACATGTAAGAACTCTGTGTATTAGAACATGATACTGTTGAAGAGACCTGCGAATTAATCTACCGGGTCTCATTTTCCATGGATCTCAAAATTAATCCTTGTAAACCTCTGGAACATGATCGACTATATTGATGCAAAATGCATCTATATGTATACTCGTATATCGTAAAAGCGATCGCATGCCGATGAAAAATGAAAAATAATATTACAATGAAACATTAGCTACGAAATTGAAAGCAAACTTCAGTACGTTTGAAATCAAAGCTGGATTCTTGTTGTCGAACGAGTGAAAATGCATTTCAAACTAAAATAAAAAATTTCCGTACGCTGGTACGCACTTCAATTTCGCCTTTCGTACGTAAACACTCGGTCTGTACGGTCTGCTAGCGACTTTTTATTGGATCTCGAAACGAGATTCCTTTGAAGGAAAAAATACAGTTTTGGAATAGACGTCGGAAGCACTGCAGTTAATCAATTTAAAAGCGTGTGCAGTCATATAACTTAATAAAATTACATTCTTTTATGTACAAATTGCTAATATAAAAATTTGTATTCTAAAAGAGAGAAATGTATTAACTGAATAAAAAACGAGATTTATTAATGGCTGTGACAGATTCAAAAAATAAAAATGCATTCTTATAAGACTGAATGGGCTGCGAAAATCTGAGAATGACAATCTGCTAATATTTCATAAAATATACGACATTTTTTCTCAATATTTAAGTGTCATGATGTATGACCAAAGAAATTAGAATACATAAAGATAAAAAAACAAAATTAATTGCAACAAATAATATATATTTATTATTATTTTACTATTATTATTATTATTATTTAAACCTATTATTAAATTTATTACAAAATAATTTATCAAAAAAGATACGTGTGTATATTTTTTATTTTAGAGCTCTCTATTATATATATCTCTATTAAAATTCTATAAGAACTTCAATATAGAATTCATTGTAATATTATTACATTATTTAACCCCCACATATTAATTTAAATTTGACTTTCTGTTACTTCAATCTTTTTGACTCTATTCTCCAATTATAATTATTCCACAGGACAAAATTGAACTCAGATAGTCTCTTTAAAGGAATTGCATATTTTGCCTATTTCAAATTGAGATCTGGCGAAGAATGTCCCGAGATCGTGGCCCCGTCATAAGATTATGAAGATTAATTAACTGCAGAAACTATGCTGTGCGCCAACGTCACTAAATTGAATCTCGGGCGGGTTCCTGATTTATAGCGCCACTGCATCGAAACTTTTTCCCGCGAAACGCCTGGATTTGCATTGCATTAAGATTCACGGTCTATCATTCACGGAGAAAAAGAATCTGCCGTTTGTACTTAACTTCTTCCAACAGGCGCCCTTCGAGGGCAATCTCGACTTTACTTCTTTTTAATTTTGTCTGGTCGGGAATTCGTCTCTTCCGTTAAAAAGAAAAAGAGTTAAATAAAATGTTTAATATTAAATATTATGATTTATTTATGACAGTAAATTTCAGTTATATGAATCTCATAAAAGTAATACATTTTTTATTGAATATCCAGTTCCTTTTTCATACAAAGGAATAGAAAAAAAATGCACAAAATCTGATGCGCGCTTTATGTTACTATTATACTCGTATCAACGTACAAAAGTTTTAATTAGTGATCACGTGAAAGCTCTATCAGCAATAGAACTGCTGAAGCAACGTTAATTAGGATTACGATGCTACGAATCATTCAATTTCATTACAATTTAATCACCGTAATATGGTAATAATGTGATTATTAATTACTTTTCACGTCCGGTATAAACTAATACGATACTCTAGATCGATTTAACAAATGAAACTTCGACGAAATACAAATAGAATAATTTATGGGAGGAAGTATTATGATGATTAATTCATGTACATACATATTAATAGAGAATATACGTATAAAACAGCTCTATAAATTTTGGAAGTTTCACGAGAGAAAATTGTTTACAAAGCAATTCAGACAGTGAATGCTAGAATCAAGTAACTCATCACGAATATTTCAGTTTATAAATTTTGCCTGTAATCATTTAATCTGTAAACAATTCTTGTAATCATTTTTTATTTCGATATTATATCACATAACAGTGCCCACATAATACCCACGTAATAGAGATGCATCCATTAAGCTGTATAGTGACTGTTTCTTCATCGATCCTAAGAAGATGGATGTGACAGTATTAAAGCAAAGACACTTCCATCAAGTGTGCTCTTTTGTTGATCAAAGGTTAATAATAGATAGGCAAAAAACGTAATCCGCGTAGTACTACTGATTGTCAACATTTCTAATTTGCGATCCATTGTCGTTTATTCTTTACATATCATTAAAAATAGATTATTTAAAAATTTAAGGATTCGTCTATTTCACGATCATTTCACGACTGTGAAATAAATAGAATCAGAATATCAAAACGTTTTAACCGACATAATGCCAATATCTATTTTATAAATTCATTCATCTATATCTGACTAACAGCGCATTGTTTTAATTTTATCCATAGATCACGCAAAACCTGAAGCAAAAAATTATGACGTTATTACACAATCGACCTGATAGTTTATTTTAAGAACTTAGGATACCTATACATATATTAAATAGCATACATCACAACGCAGAATAGAAAGATGTGCAAAAATAAAATGCGTCGATAATTCCAATATTTTCGTTATTTAAATTTAGAAAAAAATATCAATATGGAAAGAATTATTTTTAATTGTTTTATACGTCTATTATATAAGCGAGAAGTATGAAGCATTTTTAATATTATCTACACTGTGTTTATAAGTGTTATATCGTTAATTGTGTACTTAACACATATCAATACGTAGGTCGTAGGAGTTAATAAATCATTTTATACACCATACTTTCTTTTGACTACCCGTAAAACATGATACGAATAACAATGCTATGCCATTTTCATTGTTATTACTTGAGGAATTGTCGGCATTTTTCTCTTCACTAACCACGAATCGAAAGAACGCGAACGCTCGTATATCTCTATAAAGATCGAAGATCCGAAAACGAAGATTCCCGCGTTTGTAGCTATTCCCATTGATTCTGTCGCCTTTCTTCCGCCGACACTCAACGACATGCCGTCGTCGTCCCAACTGCATTTACTCGCCAGATATAACAATTCCATCGAAGATCTCGCCGCGGAGAACTTTAAACCCCCTCGCAATCTAGATTTTGTTTTCGGCGCCGGCCGTACAAGACGACACGCTGGGGAACCGCGAAAGTTTTCAGTCCACGAGACGCCATCCGTGAATTTTCTCTCCTGACGCAAATTTACCCCTTACTAGCGGCGTGTATTGACAGAAAAACAAGTACATTTTTCGTTCGCTCGCCTCTGTAACTTAAAGGAAGCTAAAGTGACCAAACTGACATTACAGTCACATAATAAAAATCTCCGAATTGATGTTATAATTTGAACGTAAATCAATCCGTGTAAACGTAGTCAGTGACGAGTGATCATAGGTAGTACTTAAATTATAATTGTAATTATATAATTGCTAATTATTTTATATTATGTAAAGGTTTTTCATTCTTCGAAATTTTTTTAAAAATGTTGAAGAACTTGACACAAATTGCATGTATAATGCAAGCATAAAAATATAAATTTTTAATTTGTTGTTTATATAAAAATTTAATTTAGGAAGATTACATTTACTGTTCATACAAGGAATAAATATGTTGCGAACTAGGAAAAGTGTAACTGACATTTCTCAACTACAGAAAACTACGAAATGCTCTGTATACGCAAGCTCTCAGCCAAACGATTTCTCTTAATTTCACGAGGCGACGCCCGTAAATAGAAAGCAAACAAACGGATAACAGCCTGGTTGCGGCCCGTCGGGCGAATTTAACGATGGGGCGCCACGCGAGTGGATATGTTAACTAGATTTTTCGCTTTTTTTCTCTTGTTTTTTTGCGTCCGGTGCGAACTGCACACCAGTTTAACTAGATTCGTTGCAATTTGCAAAAATAAAGCGGTGCAAAA